CCAGTCGTTTGGGTGAGGACGGAATGTTGCGCCCCAGTGTCTACCATGAAGGTGACTGGCTGTCCCCCAACATGAAGAGTTACCCTGGGCTCAGGTCGGGGTTCCTGGCCCTGACCTCCCTAATTGAGGTTGAGGATCTCAGCTTTTTCTTCTTGTTGTTTCTTCTTTTTCTTGGGGCAGTTCTTTACCCAGTGTCCTCTTTCCTTGCAGTAGGCGTACTGGTCTTTTTCTAACCGGACACGCCCTTGGTCTCCCCCCCTTTCTATTTTGACTTCATTTTCTTTTCTCACTACTGTGGCCAGGATTCTACTTAATTCTTTATTTCGCTTTCGATCTCTCACTGCCTCTCTATCTTCTGCCTCTCTTTTTTGTCTTTCTTCTTTCTCCTCTGGTGTTTCCCTTTTGTTAAAGATCCTCTCTGCCTCCCTTAAGAGGTCCCTAAGACCTTGCCCCTGTAAATTCTCCATTCTTTGGAGTTTACTCCTAATATCAGGAGCTGATTGCCATATGAAAGACATGGAAACACTTACTTCCTGATCGGGGCTGTCTGGATCAAAGGGAGTGTACCTCCGATATGCCTCTTTAAGTCTTTCTAGAAACACAGTGGGCGGCTCGTCTGCTCCCTGTGTCACTGACCTTACCTTGGCCAAATTGGTGGGGCATCTCCCTGCCCCTTGGAGGCCCACTACAAGCACCTGGCGATAAAGACGTAGGTGTTCCCTACCTTCAGCCTTGTTGAAATCCCAAGCAGGTCTGGTGAGGGGAAAGGCAGCCTCGATCTCATTTGGCAATTGGGTTGGTCTCCCGTCTGCCCCCGGGACATGCTTTCGGGCTTCTAGAATGACTCTCTGCTTTTCCTCCGTAGTTAGGAGGACCTGCAGGAGCTGTTGGCAATCATCCCACGTGGGTTGGTGGGTAAGGAGGATAGATTCTATCAGGGCTGTTAGGGCCTGCGGGTCTTGGGAAAAGGACGGGTTATGAGTTTTCCAGTTATACAGGTCTGAAGCGGAGAAGGGCCAATACTGTAACTGGTTTCCTTCCCCTCCTGC